ATAATACTTTACCTCGATAGTGCATGTTTAGAAGATAAAGGGCTGTTCAGGTCTGCAAATATACTCCAAATAGCAGATGTTGTCCGTCGAGTTCTCTTATTGCTATGTTTTAGACAATGGTTCGTCGTGAAACGAGCAAAATGTTTCACCGACTGTTCGGCCATTTTTCTTTTCACAACCAAAACAATTCAACCTCGTCCCCAGGTCTTCTCGGTTAACGGTGCATTAACCTTCAACAGTGCTGCACTTTTGACGTCATCGGTTCATTAATCGCAAAGTTCTTCCGAATTTGGTCAACAGTGGCTAATTATGGTGAATTAGGCGTGTGTCATCAGCCAATCAGAAAAGGAAATATTTTGAATGAATAATAATGTAAATTGTAAACCCTTTGTGTTTGTTGTTTGCTAAAAAAAATTGTTGAAAATAGTGGCCGGTTGTGCTACCACTAATTAAGAGCAAGACAGTAAACTACCGTTAGTATTATGGGTAAAGATGTCTGTTGGTCAAAGGACAACAATCACATGATCTTAATCCTGCTTTTATTTCTATTCAAAGGTCTTGCAGGCACATTATTAAGTTCAGTTTCCACCGCTCCCTCGGGTCCGGTCTAGTTCGACCTCCCAAAGGAGGAGAGGGAGTTTAGCGGGCTCATTTTCAGAACAGCGGCAGGCAATCGAGCCTACTTGCACATCTTTCCTCAAGTCTAGTTTTTATTGGGGTTGACTAGCTTTACATCTACACTTACAAAGAAAAGAAACCTGAGAAGACAGACTTCTCAAGGCTTGCTTATAGTTTGTACTAAACGAAAAAAGGATGAGCGGATTAACAGCTGTACTTAAAGACGGAAAAACATAGAAAGTAAAGCCAGTGATTAATAAACATGCGTCCTGTACAAAAAGATCTGGACCAAAAATTCTAAGAAAAAAATACGTAGATAGTGGTGTCCAGCAGAGAAAAAAAGCAATGACAATAGTTATCAAGATTTTAAGAATTTTTCTGTTCTGCTGGCTTCGTTCCACTATATCTTGTGGTCTTGTTTGAATGTTACTGTTCTTGGTACTCTGTTTCAGTTTTATCATTATCAGAGAATAAAGACCTACAATCGTAATCAGGGGAAGAATGTAAAATAGAGCGATGCCGTTTGCGTGAATAACTATTTTAGCTTCGTCCCTCACCATAAATCTACAAACTCTCCGGTTCTCTACTGTAGTTATCTCGGAAAAGATTAAGTAAGGAAGAACACCAAGCAAAGGTACCAGCCATGATACCACGAGTAAGCTCACTCGAATTTTGCGATTCATCGCAGCAAATTTAAAGGGAAAAACGATAGCAACAAATCTGTCCACACTGATCAGCACAAGACTCAGAACGGAGACTGTCTGAGATACCGCCCGAAAATACATTCCTAGCTTGCATGCAGCCAAAGCCGAAGACCCATCGATAAAAACAGTGCGAGTCAGCATGCCTTCACTAACGTACAGCGGCCAAATGAAAAATGGACCAATGAAGTCAGAGACAGCCATGCTCACGATGTAGTAATTAGTGCTTGTCCGTAGGCTGGGGGTCTTGAAAAAGACAGTAACAATAAGCATGTTTCCGATGAAAGTTACTGTAGTTATTAGAGCCAAGATCGATGTAAAGAATGTAGACGCCATCCAAGGGCAACCAGAAGATGAAGAGTTTAGTGGATGTAATGTGGAATTATCCATTATTAAATGACTTGCTTGAAGCTTGATTTCAGTGCTGAAAGCTAAACGGATAAGAATATTATCAAATTAGTTTCAGTAATTCATGGGACAGAGTCAGTTAACTACTAAAACTATATATAACGCTAAAGATTGCAAAACTGAGGAGCGGTGTATTAGCTATCGAATCCTGTATCGAACCACTGTGAATGGCGTGAATTACTCTGATCAATAGGCGGTAGAAAATTTTCGTCATTTATTTCAGACAGGAACAAAAACAATATCCTCTGGTCAGGTCTCAGAGTTTTTATTTGTTTCCTTTCGTCATGTTTTGCGATGCCTCCCATTCATTCTCGGACATTGAGTTTGAATCGTACACGCCAGCCCAGCGTGCGTTTATATATTCTAAATAAGTTGTCCAAACTTTTAATCGTAAGAATATAGTTCACTTACACATGCGTGACGGCTTGCCTACAATTGGGACGTTCAATCATTTATTAACTGTATTCGTTCGTTTAGTTTTCTGCCAGTTGAATTCACAGTTAAATTTGGCATTGTCTTGCTATTTGTAGCACTAACCGTTAAGAATAAGCGTAATAAAATAAACGAACTGCAAATGACTAGAATGACCCAGTCATACGGTTGCTGCTTGATCCAGTTTTCACCGTTTACTCAAAGGGGCTATGTCACGATGATTTTGCGGTTTTAGGTCAATTATGGCTGAAGTCATTAGCCAGTGCCTTTATCCGAGCAAAAAATGTTTCTGTCGCTTTATGAAGTAGATACCAAAGAAATTTCATCAGTGAGCAGTGACCACAACATTTTGTTTGGTGATTTATACAGTTATTGCATTAACATTCCAAAAAGGTGGCCTAACTTTTTCAAGTTTCAATCCATGTCTATCCTTGCCATCCCGTGCGACTGAAACATTTTCAATACCTAAATATAGTCTTGAATAACAAAACTCGAATATTATTTTGGAATTAAATTGAAGGGGAAGAAATTGTAAATTCTTAAAAAGGTAGTAAATGCTGTGATATAGCTCCTTTGAGTTGACTCACCTGGTCTTCCACGTTCTATTCACTGAAGAGTGGTAGCTCAAGCTGCTGTAGAGTTCTACATCTGATCTCAGACCATGTCCTTGCCGTACCTGTTACTCTGGCAAGCCCTCTTCTCTTACTTCACCATGAAGTATTACAAGCTAATATAGGTGAGTATTTTATTTAGCTGTTGCTAGGTGACGTTAATATCTCGTAAGTGACATCCGTCCCCGAGGAATGCAAAGTTCTAAGCCAGGCATGTACAGTTTGTCAATAGAAGGTATATGAAAGGGTATACTTTTTTTTGTCAAAAATAGTGTATAAAAGGGTGCATGCGAGGGGTTGGACCTCACGGCGGAGCCTCCCCGTATAAAACTTTGTTACGCAGCCCCTCCCGTCATCAACAAGTCCAACAACAACGTTGCGAAATCAAACTAAACAAACTGATTTTCAATTTCCTACTGCACTAATATACGTTCTACTATTTTTAAATAAAGGAAAACAGCATATTGTCATTTGTAATTCATCGGTTTCTATGAACCAGTAAAGCTCAGTAAAACAGAGCTAATTAACCAAGTGGCTATCTTTCCACTGTGGTCCTTTGTGTGTGATCTAATAAAGATCGTACTGTGATAAGAAATCGACTTACTAGTAATTCTCGAGCATATTGCCTGAGTTCATTACCATGAATATCAATGTAATACTAATATATGTAATACTCTGAGATCATTAACACTATCATATACTTAAAAGTAAATACGTCACTTCCGGCAACAAACAGGAAAACTTATTATGAAAGTTCAATCTTACAGTACTTCTCTATATAGTTAATTAAACGTAGTCATATTCGATTTTGACCAATGACATGTTCAATTGAGCAAATACAGCCCAGCAATTTCTAGAGCTCGAGAAACGCTGAATATTTCCGGATAATCGTTACCTTCCTCTAAAATATTCCTCTAACTTACTTATAATTTTGGGGCGTTGTATTTTTTGCATTTAACTATCAAGATATTGCTATCATTGAGAAAAAAAAGGTCTACTGAAAATTTAGCCTCCAAGAATCTGATGAAATGACGGCTACTTCATGTATATGTCCGCGCACTTTCGACCGAATCCACCATGGTAGTTCGAAGATTCAGATAAAGAAAAAAAAAAACAAAACGAAAAACCCACCTAAAACGAGCAAAGTTGCCCTAAGATATCCCAATAGATATATGATTTTTTTAGGGCATCTGCAATTTAACGTGAGACAGGCTTCTAAAACATAGGGAAAACAATTTGATGCCTGTCCGACGTATTTGTAATCGTTCAGTCGTTTGGTTCCCCTGTATTCCTTTCATAAACGTAAAACAGGAATATCAGCCCTTTCGAAGTCATGTTGAAGGTTTCGTGGAAAATCTGTTTGGCAGATACGGAAGTCATGGCTTTGTTTAAGTAGAAGCGAAAACATGATGCGCATTCCAGTTAAACAGGGGAAACTTTGTTTTATAATTGTGTCGAGAAAACTCCTTTGTAACAATCAGCGGTGGAATCGTGACCTCGAGCGAACGAAGCGGAAATTGACTTCCGCCTAGACAATATTGGCCAGCCCAACTAACTGCTCAATATTGTATTGTGTAGTTGTTTTCTAATTATTCAGTCCTTTGCGTTTTACTTTGTTGCTGTTTTTTTTTTTTCTGTTTTTCTTTATTTCCACCGATCGATAGTTACCAATATTAACCGTGAATCAAACTTAGCAGTAAGCAATATATTCAATTTTGATTAGCACTTAAAGAAGCGATCATGCAAACATGGATGTGTTTTATTTCATCCATAATATTGTGAGATTAGAACGATTGTACTTTTTGACCTGTTTGAATTCACAATAGGCACCAGCTCTCCAAGGTTCACACGAAATATCACTAGTAAGTTAAAAGTTAAAAATTTGATTTATTGCTGTTCATGCAGTTAAAGGATATTACTTTGTCAAGCATTTCTATATAGCTATTTCAAGATTTCATATTTCCTGGGGCAGCACGCCCGAGGATACTCCTGTTACATTTACAACCCCACACCCACCCCCACCTTTTACAACGTTCATATTGGAAGAGCGTATCCACTGAGTATGAGCAAACAGCCCTTAAAACAAGTTGGAAAAAATAAGGGCAATGGCGTTTTCTAGTCAAACGACCCCAAAAGTTTATTGAATCTTCGTTTGTCTCAGTTCATAGTTCTTCCAGTCATGTCTACCCACAACCATAGTTTTGTTGGGCTGAAAGGCTTTGTATCTACATCTACAAAGAAGAAAAACCTTAGAACTCAGAGTTCTCAAGGCTTGTTTATAGTTTGTGCTAAACAAAAAAAGAGTGACCGGATTAATGGCTGTACTTAAAGACGGAAAAACATAGAAAAAAAAGCTCGTGAATAAGAAACATTTTTCGCGTGGGAAAATAGCCGGGAAAAACGTTCTAAGAAACACATAAATACAGAGTGGCGTCCAGCAAACAAAAAAAGCAATGACAATAGTTATCAAGATTTTAAGAATCTTTCTACTCTGCTGGCTTCGTTCCACGTTATCTTGGCTCGCTTGAATGTTACAGTTCTTGGTACTCTGTTTCAGTTTTATCGTTATAATGGAATACAGACATATGATCGTTATTAGGGGAATAAAGTATCCTATAGTGATGCCGATTGCGTGTAAAATCCGATTGACTTCCTGGCTCGCGATGAACCTGCAAACTCTTTGGTTCTCTACTGTAGTTATCTTGGAAAAGAGTGCATAAGGAAGAACACCAAGCAAAGGTATCAACCAAGACACCAACAGTAAAATCACTCGAATTTTCCCATTCATCACAGAAACTTTGAAGGGGAAAACGATAGCAACAAATCTGTCCAAAGCGATTAACACAAGGCTCAGAATGGAGACTATCTGAGATACTGCCCTAAAATACATTCCCAGCTTACATGCAGCCAAAGCCCAAGACCCACTGATAAAAACGTTGCGCGTGAGCATGCCTTCACTAACGTACAACGGCCAACTGAAAAATGGTCTGAGGAGGTCACAGACGGCCATGTTCACGATGTAGTAATTTGTGCTTGTCTTTAGGCTGGGGGTCTTGAAGAAAACTGTGACAATAAGCATATTTCCGATTAACGTTATCGTGTTAATTACAGCCAAAATCGATGTAAGCGATGCAGAGACCGTCCACGGGCAACCGTAAGATGAAGAGTTCATTTGATCTAATGTGGAATTATCCATTGTTTCTTGTTTGGAGCTTGAATTCACTACTGAGAGCTAAGAAGATAAGAATGTATGAATAAGTTTACTGCAACATACTGTCACGTACCTTCACCCTCTCCCACAGCTGAGGTAGAAAAATCACCCATTCTGCTGAGCCAGCAAATCGAAACCCAATAGCTGAAGAGAATTCCATCAATAACTCAATGAAAGTTGTCTTCTGATTAGGAGGTATTTACAGAAATGCACGCGTTGGTGAACTCTCCAAGGCGCCCCTATTGCTATTTGATTTGAATATTCACCAAGCCCCATGGCTAATTTCCCCCAGATTCGCCATTTTTGTCAACTTCACCACTTTACAAGGGGCACCTCTTGAAGCCTCATTTAAATTTTCGTCAACGCGTTGGCGATTTTTTACTGCCATCAGATTCGCCATTAATTTGCTATTGTTGGCAGGTTTTTGACACTTCGCGGCAGATTCACCATTTTCGTCAAAATTGCCACTTTCCAAGGGCTACCTTTTGCCATCTAATTTGAATATTCACCAAAACCAAAACCATGACTAATTTTCGCCAGATTCACCTTTTTCGTCAGACTCGCCATTTTTGTCAACTTCACCACTTAACGAGGATCGAGCACCTCTTGTAATCTCTTATAAATTTTCACGAACCCTCTGGCAATTTTTTTTGCCAGACTTGCGTGCATTTCTCGACATACCCAAAAATTCCGAAAACAAGCTCCTCCGTGTATAAGCCCCTCCAAATATAATCCCCACCCCGGGGGAGGGGCTTGTTCCTGGAAATTTCCCTCAAATACAAAGTAAAACAAAGCAAAAACGGTAAATTTCCCCCCAACTGAAAGACTAGCCCAATCGATTTTGAAACTCAAATTTCCCTCCGTAGAAAAGCCCCTCCGAATATAAGCCCCTCCAAAAATAAGCCCGAAAACAAGCGACTGCTAAATTTTCTTTCTCTTTCTGAAAGTACTTGAATATGGTTCTTAGGAATTCGGCTCAAAAAGAGTTAGCTTGCATTTGACAAGGTAAATGAGTTGGAGTAATCGTTATAGAGATTAAACAACGCAAATTCACTTTTTGAGTGACGTTTTAGTGGCCGTCACCGTCGCGGTATCTTAAGCTCCGTAATAACTCCTAGTTAGTTCGGACAATTTATTCAGTTTCTAAAGTTTGAATTTGTCCGCTTTCGTCAAGTTTGGAGGCTTTTTGACTCCTCCTATTTTCTTCAGTATCCCTTTTCGAAGACTAACCATCTGGAATTCGTTGCCTGTTCCACTAACAAGCTCTTCTTCCGTATTTGTTTTTAAAAAAATCTGAAAAATTATCTCATTGATAGTAGTTCTGTCACTTACGTTTTATGTTTACAGTCTGCACTCAAGTAAGGAATAAGTAATCCAGCTTAGGGAAGCCTATTAATATAAGCTCCCAGCTTATTTTAGGCTTCCTTGTCACATTAACTTTCATTTTAATTAAGACGGAATCCATCAGGAAATCTAGTAATTTTAATTTTCAGTGGACAAAAATCTTGTACCAGAATAATTTAAACAATATCACATTCTTTTTTACAATTTTCAAGGGCTATAGATATAATTAGTTATCTGTAATAACACCAAAGACTCACAATTTCTCACGGGAACCGAGGAAAATAATTATCGAATTGTGAAAACAAAGATAAAATTCTGAAAATTTCATGTGTGAGATGTCATTTTCTGAATTTGAGATTTATTTTCTCGTGCTCCCATGAAAAATTTCTTTGGTGTTATTACGATAACTAAGTACATCTATACCCTTGAAAAATGTAAAAAAGAATTTGATATTGTTTAAATTATTCTGGTACAAGGTTTTTGTCCACTGAAAATTAACATTACTAGATATCCTGATGGTTTCCGTCTTAACACCTTTTGTAACATTTTAATGTTAGGTTATGCGAGTGACTAAAAAAACAAATAAAAATAAATAAATAAAATAAATAAATGACAGAGCGGTTTTAAGCCAAACAACGCTATTCGAGATAGAAAGAGATATCAGACGCAACACCTGAGAGTTCTCTTATGATCTTAGTGACAATAAACTATTATTAGCTACTACCAGGAGCCTAGCTAGTACTTCTAAGAAACTCTTCCCCGAAGACCGAGTCCTAGTCTTTAAATAAACTTTCAATGAACAGTTAAAATCTTGCTCTGGTACATCTTCGCGTTTTGTTATTATTTACTATTTTGTTGGAAAATTAACTTGCTACTTGCGGAAAATAGTAAAAATTTAATAAGCGCCTGCCTCGAACAAGCGCCTATCTTGAATAAGACTAAGCGTATGCTGCAAATTAGTACATTTTTTAACTAACCTGTTAAGTAAATCTTTCGCTGTATTTGTAACAAAATAATTTGTGACATTCATTTTGCTTGCATGGATTATTACGTAATAGTCTTAGTTTGCATCGTTTTGTATATTTTTCCTTTTCATCAGACACCTTTCCACTTCAATAATTTTTGTTTATTATAGATCCATTTTGAGAGAAAAGAATGGCAAACCATGAGATCACCCAATATATTTAACTATATGACGTCATGATGACATCGTAGAGCGTCATTATGTCAATCAAATTGCACTTACAATAGGTACTAGAAATGTTGAACTCATAATTAACGCGCAACATTTTGTTGTGAAAGGTTTAAACCCAAGAGTCATTTCATTAGTAGGTTGAGGAGGGGGGCATTGGGGTATATCAGAAACCGCAAAACCGAAGGAAAAAATCATCCAAAACCGCAAAACCGCAAAACCGCATACAAAACCGTCAAAAACCGATACAATGGTGACAAGTGGGGCACAGAGCAAACTAAACTAACACTAATTTCACCAAAGTATTTGTGAATGTCATGGACTTTGTCTGAAGCCTTCGTATCTTTTGTGTCTGCTTAAATCATAGGCTTTGTTTCTGCCGCTCTCTCGAGCTCAGACTTTGCGGCTCAATTTCCGAAAAGCCGCTAGTTATGGAGCCTAGTTAACTTAGGAGAATTTGCACACAAGTCCTCTTTAGAATTTCAATTTTGCAGTCGCAAAAAGCTATAGCTCTGGAAACTTCAATCGAAAATCTCTAATCGAACATTTCCATTTGATAACTAACACCTGAAAGTTTGGAGACTCGATTGTCTAACATGCGATTGCACTGAGCTGAGTCGACACTGAGGAAGCTAACCGGTACAACCAGTTCCTTTTCAGTTTTACCAAGAGACTATAAAGGGGACAGAGAGGGCATCCCCCATATACACCATATTCCATAGGTAATTCGTCTCGAGTTATTTTTAGAATCGGGATAAAGTTACCTCGCACGAGGCGTGGATGTTTCGTGAAGGTTTCGCATGACCAAACGCCGTGCAAAACATGTCGGGCGAGAGGCAATGAAAGCGTAAAAAGATCGAGAGCATTCCTGAATATTGAAGCGAAATGAGTCGGCGCTCACCCGGGAAAAAGGAATCGCTGGACTCCTTGACAACCCGTGAAATCAGTTTAACTCGAAGTTGTCGTAACCTCAGTGCTTTAATAAAATGAGAAATATCGCCGGTCTATTGAAATCGGTCGTTTGTACAATTTAGGGAGTTTAAGATCCAACGACGCGGACGACAACTAGAACGTAAAAAAACAATAGGTTTAATTAGCAAAACAACAACTTCGCACGTGCAACACACTTTTTTGTTCATTTCTTTCCCGTTTTTGGACGACTACGACGTGAAAATGCCTAATTTCGCGTTTTATGGAGAACGTAAATAAGCAACGACGAAATTTTATTTGTCTTTCTGAGCTTGAATATGGTCTCTTGAAATTCAGCTTTAGGAGGGTTCGCCTACAATTGACAAAGTAAGTGGGTAGGAATAATCGCTATTAAGACTGAAAAAAATAAACATCAAACCAGAAATTGCTCTCTTCAAACTGTAAATTATAAATGATCCTGAGAGAATATTCAGTGTGTTAAGGATTTCCCTGCTCTACTGTTAGCTCTATACAAGAGAGGAAGGGCGATTCTTTTTAAATTTCGGTTTCGCGGAGACAGCTTTCGCAGAAATCTCGCTGTAGTCGTTTTCGTCGATAAAAGTAATAGCAAAATCGCTCTCCGCGTCTTGGCTCTCAGCGTGGGTCATCCACGCGGAACACATTCGCGCTATGTGATTGGCCGTTGTCTAATCCCCCTTGAGATCTGTGGTGTTAAAAATAACTCGAGACGAATTACCTATGGAATAGGGTGTATATGGGGGATGCCCTCTCTGTCCCATTTATAGTCTCTTGGTTTTACATGGCAGCAGGAACTTGCTCTAAGGTTTAATGTGGTAATAAACAGATACTCAAAAAAGCAGACTGCCCTTCCAAAAACCAAAAACCACATCGGGTACCAAAACCGAAAAACCGCTAGTATTTTTCACGAAAACCGAAAACCAGATGCTAAAAAACGAAAAATCCGCAAACCGCAATGACCATCAAAACCGAAAAACCGAAGTCTTTTGCAACAAAAACCGAAAAACCGATCTAAAAAATAGCCAAAACCGCAAAACCGAAAATCCCAATGCCCCCCTCGTTGAGTATGATCGTCCGGGTAAACGTAGTCCTGAATAGGATTGTTTTTGTTGACAGTGACTGACGTTTCGACAGCCCGTGCGGTAGTCATCTTCAGAATCAAAGTGACTCTTTGACTCTGAAGATGACTACCGCACAGGTTGTCGAAACGTAAGTCTGTGTCAACAAAAACGTAGTCCTATTCAGGACTACGTTTACCCGGACGATCATACTCAACCTGCTTAGTAAATTTTGTGGTGATGTCATGCACGCTTAATTTTAAGTTCTGTTTGTGAGCCAAGTAAGACCCCACACCCTCGTCCAAGAAGGGCCTAAGAAGGTTGGTCTGAATATCCTGACATGATTTAAACATTTAAAAATTGCTAAACATTCT